CTGTGTCGCAACTCTGTGAGTCTATAAATGTTCGGCCCATTCAAATTTCGGCCTCCCAGGGCTAAAACCCATTTTGGCCGCATCAAATGTTCGGCCTGTACTGCTGCCGCCTGTATGCACTGACACACTGGACCTTGCAAAACAAAACTTCGGCCGGAATAAATTTTCGGAAAAACCATGACCAGGCGAAAAATAGCCGAAAATAAATATGCGCCGAATATAATGTTGACTCGCAGTAGACTATAGAAAGAAGTTGCAAGTCACAGAACCAGCAAAACAGATCAACAATATGAAAAACTAATGCACATCTCATAAAACCTCTGCCTATTGTATGCCTGCGTATATATATATATACACATGTACACACACATACACACACACACAGACGGTGGCTTACTGAAGAAATCCGGCATGGTGCAGGCGTCGGCGGCGCGACCGCACAGCATGCCGATGACACGCGTCTGCGTCGACGAGTACTGCACGTTCTTGCACGAGTTAAAGAACGCCATGGCCTGCTCCCGATCCAACCAGTACTGCACGGCCTGCACGCTCGTATGATTCACCACCGCTCCGCTGACATCATCCATGACATCATCGACGTCGGTGCTGTTCAGCACGCAGGTGGAGTCCTCCTGCGCTAGCTCGGCGATAGTCTTGCCCGTGTCCGACGGGAACTCGCCGAACTTCTCGCCGGCGTTGTTCCTCGCGTACGCCATGAACTGCTGCTGGTTCGGGCTACACGTGCTGTAGCAGAAGAGCTGTCGGAAGTTGTAGGCGCACGACGGACAGCCGCTGAGCAGCGCCTCCGACAGACCCAGGCTCTTGTGCAGCGTCTTAACCTGAGCCAGGTCGCAGCAGGCGCGAGTCTCGTTACGCGGCTGCTCGTCGACCAGCATCGGGCAGGTCTCGGCCAGCAGGCGGTAGTGCTCTCCGCTCTCGTCCAGGCACGGCGCCTCGCCCGTGTACTTACAGTTGAGCTTGGCGTTGCCGCTGGCGTTGTCGCCGCACTGCCCGTACCAGATGCAGCGGTTCGCGCTCGCCTCGTCCGCTGCCGCCGCGTCAAGTGATTGCGCTCGTGCCGTGTCAGCTACGGCACCGCCGCACAGGAGTAGTAGTGCTAGGTATGTGTGTGCTGTGAGGCGCCCGAGGGTTGGTTGTCGCCGCTGTCGACATCCTTGTGACTACAGCACAACAACACACGGACAGAAAATAAATCCATTGAATACCAATATTATTGTTTGCATTTCAATGTGTTAGCGTGTGCAACATTGGCGTGTGCAACAGTACAGACGGTGAAGCACGTGAGCATGCACATACACATACACACACGTACACACACACACACGTACACACACACACGTACACACACGTACACACACACACATACACACACGTACACACACACACATACACACACACGTACACACACACACACGTACACACAGACACGTACACACACACGTACACACACACACGTACACACACACACGTACACACACACGTACACACACACGCACACACAGACACGTACACACACGTACACACAGACACGTACACACACGTACACACACATACGTACACACACACACGTACACACACACGTACACATACACACGCACACACACACACACACACACACACGTACACATACACACACGTACACACGCACACACACATACACACACACACGCACACACACACACACACACACACACACACACACACACACGCACACACAAGTCATGCTTAGCCACCGATCCAGTCGACATTGCACTACACTACGGAGGGCATGACAAGACTTTCTCACATTCGTCATGCCGTCTTGCGTCCAAATTCTCCAGCACTCAGCACTTCGCACAGACAGTTTAGACAGCAGTGTGTGAGCATATACAGTAGCTCAGTCTGTGTTCAATTAGTATGGACTCTAGTAATTGAGTACCAACTGTTAGCCGCCAGCACAACTCAATCTCAAGCCATGCTAGGCACCAGACAAACAGGAAACTTCCAAATGTGTAGCCTGTCTGCAGTAGCAAGACAGAGAACTGCACCGACTGCACGGCAGCACATCCACCTCAAAAACCTGGCCAGCGGTTATCAAGATCGAATCTTGTGTAGGGAAGATAGAAGTCACAAACCGTCATGGTTTAATGAGATGTGGACGCAAACTTCCCCACTGGAAATATTATCAACAAGCAGTATCTGAACGCACGTGTGCCGTGCTTTTGAGATACGGAATTGCTCAGGGCGCGCTCAAAGGCCATGGAAGTTTTTTTCGGTGGTATTCCATTCATTGGTTTCGCATTACAGGAGTACAGCTGCGAGAGATCCTACACTACAGCACACAGGGATGTCAACTGAGCCTATGGATGGGCAACAGATAAGGCGAAACGAGGACTATACGCCTGAATGTGTGACCATTGGTGATGGCGTGTGTCCAGAGTCTCTGACAGGTGAGCTGTCCAACCCTGGCAGGTGTATGACGCACGTGTCCTATCTCTCTCCAGTACTACATACATACATATATGCCAGCATACCATGTAAGACTTAGTACTCTCTCTACTACATACATACATACATACATACATACATACATACATACATACATACATACATACATGTCAGCATACCATGTATGTACAAGCACAGTGCTGGCAACTGAAATCCGACCGCTGAGCGGTGCGCTCACATGGCAAAGACCCAACTCGGGATAGTAAAACTACGAAATAGAGGCCGCTAGAATGTGAACTCATCGCTCAGGGGTCGGATTTCAGTTGCTAGCACGGTACATGCCAGCATGCCCTGTGTGTACATACAGTCGTGGCAACTGAAATTCAACCCCTGATTTTCGTGCTCGTGTGCAGCACCGATTCTATTCCAGCCGTCTCTATTTCGTAGTGTTACAAGTGCGTGCAGGGTTTTAGCAATGCGAGTGCACCGAGCTGGGGTCAGATTTTAGTTGCCACCGTCGTAGCTACAGTACTGTCGGGCGCTGAAGAACGAACAGGCTAGAATTTCACCAAACACAGCATACCAATGTATACACGGTGACTCAACTGTGCAAAGACTTTAGTACATGAAAATATGAACGGTCTAGGCTACGAGGCTGATCCACCAGTTCTTCGGCGATCGACAGTCCTGTAGTTGATGTATGCCTATCAGTGTGCATTCAACTACAGTTGCACTCTGTGTTGTCAAATCCGACCAAAAGTACATATTAGGCGCCCTCAACTTGAAGCGTGCTTGACATGCTGGAAGTGGTGCGAATGCGGCTGGACGTACGCATGTACAAGAAGAGTACTATAGTCGGAACCTGTCCAGTGCTTCCGTTTTACACGTCGGGTCGGATTTCAGTGAGCGCAACGGTACTTGGCAGCGTGGAGCCTGAAATATTAATTCCCTTAGCAGCAGTGACTATTGACATGACTCACACTGATCCCTTGACATTACTACATGACTCACGCTGGTTCGTTGACACTACTACATGACATGAGCACATGGCATTCATCCTGAGGTCATATCCCATGGAGTCAAGACCTCTCCCTCCTCTTTGCACGCATGTACAAACAATGCCAGCAGCCTACTTCTGGCGTCGAAAGTACTCCGTCCTGCTGGATATGTACCATTGTGTCGAGTTCTTCTCCTCATTTTAGTTCATCATGCAGTGAGTGTTCAATAGTAAAAAAATAAAAAAATAAAACTCTGATCCCGTTCGGAGGGGATAAAATTGAAGACAGGAAACGTACGGGCAATCCACTGGAAATTCAGATTCTTACAAATGTAGACAACACGGTTTTCATGTCATTATGTTTTCAAACGGACCATTGAACGAAATGCCCCGTGTGCTACCTAACCTCCAGCATATCGCCCCTGGGCTCTGGGCTTGGAATTTGATATAAGCTAGCAGCAATACATGAAACCCATAACTATATAGAACAGCCTGAGCAGTTCAAGATGCACGGAAAGCATGACCGTACAGGCAGCTCCAATCAAAGGCCATAATCTACAAACCCATCACATTCATGCAGCACTACAGTCTTCAAGACAATGTCTATGCACCCACCGAGTCTCTGTCAATTAGTGCATGTATGATTACAATGTCTATGCATCCACTCTCTGTCACCCAGTACATGTAGGATAAGGCCAATCAGCCTACAGTGTGTGTGTGTGTGTGTGTGTGTGTGTGTGTGTGTGTGTGTGTGTGTGTGTGTGTGTGTGTGTGTGTGTGTGTGTGTGTGTGTGTGTGTGTGTGTGTGTTTATAGCCTACGTCACTGAGAGACCTGAACTACATACCCTCTGGACTTCACAATACACACGCACACGCACACGCACACGCACGCACACACACACACACACACACACACACACACACACACACACACACACACACACACACACACACCTACCTAACCCATCAGCTGACAGCCACAATCAACTTGTTCAACCTGGTCTACAGTTAACAGTGTGATACCGGTCATGCATTCAATCACCATGATGGTTTCTACCCTCAAGCAATGTGCTGGCATCGGATTGAAAAACTAGAAATGCTGAAAGACTACACGCAAAACAGTACTCTACACATGGAAGTCTATCAAACGATGCTCTGATTAGATCCAACGCCACTCTTCTGGCCATGTGTATCGTTTACAGCGCAACACGGGCACGCGTGCACACACACAGATGCACACACACACACACACACACACGCACACGCACACACACACACACACACACACACGCACTGCTCTATCACATCCCCATGGTGCCATTAATTCTGCAGTACTCAACCAGGCTCATCCAATGCTTACTTTAATACACCATCTGGTGATTAATTACTAGTTCAAGCTGCCATGGGTTTTGACCACAGTTGCACACTGCACTATAGTACTACGAGAAAGGCGTCTGGAATTGAAAGATAAGTTACTTCAGTTTCATGCAGATACGGTCTCCCTGAGCTGTAACTCCCTGGTGCACATGAATCATATCCTCCCATACCTGTCCACAAAACTGGACCTACTCGAAGCCTACGGTATCTTGTTGAACAAGTCTCTTATACGGGCAATCACACAACATGATACCACTGGCCTGACACAACAACTAAACAAAAACAAAAAACAAAATTTTGAAAGGATTGGGAGAACTTCAAATTCAAAGGATCAATTGGGGAAGTGAACTGCCTGAAAAGAAAAACACCATGTGTCGTGAGCTGCCTTTGGAGTGAAAAACAAAATTACTATTTTTTTAGAGAACAGCTAATCTCGAAGCGTATCTAGGAGTTACAAACACCGTTGCACACACTCTTGTTACATTACATGTGACGATGGAGCAGACCGGTGGAGTGAGTGGCGACCCTTCACAATGAGATCTCCAGCTGTAGACTACAGCGAAACTGCTCAATAGTACCCTGGGTATAACAACCATAATATGGGATTTTTTAAACTTCAGCCAGTATAACTACTACAGTATTCACTACATCTTGGGGGTTAGACATGGGGAAGTTGCCACACTGGGGTTGTGAGCTCAGCCCGTCTCTCGGCACCGTAAGTACAGCTCGCTCGACTCTGTCTCTACTGATTTGAAGAGGACCCACATCATGATCTGGTGAGCCGCACGTCGTGGGGATTTTGCAGTCAGATGCGCGACCGCGGGGCTCGAACCCACGACCTCTGGGTTCGCAGGCAAGCACAGTACACAATGTACTACTGGGGAGCCCCCTATGGCATAGAGAGTACTATAAACAGCCTCATTTTCGCGACGTATTAATGTTCGCCAATTTCGCGAGAAGAGCATAGCGCAAATATTAATCATCGTGAAATCAAACTTAAACGGTGAGTGTATTTGTGTGGCCAGAGTGATCCACAAACATATGCCATCCGGTTAACTCGCTGATTCTGAGACATCGCGAAAAAATGAATAGAGACGCAAATACTGGACAGTTTACAGTAGCATTAGATCAAGGACCCTGAGTTGTGTTTTAGCTGTTACTATACCGGCATACTTGTTGTCATTTTGACCTTAGCCTTAGAAACACAGTACAGTCAACTTTGCGTGTAACGACACTCGGCGGGGCATCAGAAAAGTGTTCTTATTCGCGAAGTGTCCTTATACCCGAAGTCTCATTACGTATTTCAGTTAGATGGGACTTTGCTCTGGGCATGGAAATGCTGTCGTCATTCGCGAGTTGTCGTTATATCCGCAGTCGTTATTAGCCAAGTTGACTGTACCTCGGCTGTACGGTATGGATTTCGCGGACCTTAGAGGCGTGTGATACTGAGGTTTTACAATAGTTCATGGCCATGGATATCTGCTCAGCACTCGGTGAGTCGCACAGTTGCTTTACTACTGCGCAGCAGAGCCATGCAGTGCCGCTGTATGAACATTTCACTGCTGTGCTGCATATTGACACACCACTTCAGCAAAACAAAAATGTTGATAATAATTTCACGGACTCGTGCACGGAGCTAGGGGGTGCGTGCATGCTAGGAGGAAATCATGATGTGTGGCCAGGAGTCACGGGTTAGGTACCCAACATTAATATGTCATTATGCTCAGCTCCAAGGCCAAACAACTCGCCTCAGGAAACTCAGAGCACGCTGTGATCTACGAGTACTGTTCGCAAGCTATTCTGCTTCGTTATAGGCAATAGGAATATATTTTTTCAGGAAGGGTGAAGATTGCACTCATGCGTAGAGTCTATGGCGATGCTATGTGTAGCATGCAGCAACAGCTGCGAACTGTGGCGTGATTGTGGACTGCATCGGTGCTGGCCAACACGAGGCAACAACGATGAGCTAGCGCAAGGCAGCGCACACAACGAAACAATTGCCGCCTCAAAGCATCGCTTACCTGATACGGAGCGCGTCGGCTTGTCATCCCGATCGCTAGAGCAGTGGACAAATCCAAACGATTCCAGCGCCTCGGCTCGAGTCAGTGCTGACTGCTGCGGGACTGACTTCAGTCTGGGTTGCTGCAATTTCTTCCCAAACTAGTAGATCTACACACAGAGCTTAGCAAACGAGTGAAAACGAGTCACCGGACAGTGACGATAGAATGAACAGAGGCTGTGAGAGCCGCTACGCTAAACTACCTAAAAAACCGTGAAGTAAAAAGTTTAGAATGAACCAAACTTTACTT